AAGGAAGGAAGGAAGGAAGGAAGGAAGGAAGGAAGGAAGGAAGGAAGGAAGGAAGGAAGGAAGAAGAGACAAGGGAGGGAGGGAGGATAAAAGGGAGGAAGGAAGAAGTCAGGTGTGGGAGGGAGGGAGTACCTGCCAATGCTGTCCACCAGAGGTCCAGCTAGGAGGGTCCCACAGAAACCCCCAAATGGGAAAAAGGCAACGGTGAGACCCCACTGGAACTTCAGCAAGCTGTGGTCGATGCTGATCACGTTCCTGAACCGATACGTCTCGTTGTAAAAGTTTTGGATGTACTAAGAGGAGAAGCAGAATGACACCAGTTGAGGAGTGGCCCAGGTGGCCTCCTGTCTTTAAAATATCTACCAGTCTGTCCATTCACCCATCCATCCCTTGGGACAAGAGAGGGGGCTTACCTTGGCTGGGTAAAAGATGACAAAGGCGTTGTAACCGTACTGGACCGAGGAGCCAAAGGCAGATATTAGGGTCACCAGGACAAGGGGCCTGGTCAGCATCTGGGGAGGGAAAGAAGGGAGGGCATTGGGGAGGGGGGTGTCAGTTTTTTTAAGACTTCTGGCCTCCCCTCCCAGGTGAGGCCTGTTGGTCTCCCTTGCCGGGCTGGGTGGTACTCACCATTCTCCGAGATGGAGGAGGACGGGGATGGCGGGGAGGAGGGTTAGAAGGAGGAGAGGAGGAAGAGGAGGAGGACGACGACCAGGAAGAGGACCAGGAGGAAGACCGGGAGGAGGAGGAGGTCATGGAGAAGAAAAGGGAGGAGGCAGAGATGGAGAAGGAGAAACGGAGGCGGCGGCAGCGAGGGAAGATGGCGGAGGAGGAGCTGCAAGAGAAAATGGAGGAGGAGGAGAAGCTGGAGAAGGAGATAGAAGCATCAGTGAAAGAGAATTAAACCCCCAAAATGATTATAGAAAAGACCTTGAGGGAAGGATCAAGGATCTGCGGGAAAGGGAACGCAAGGCACTCGGTGCCATCTTCACCAAGTCCCAACAGAAACCGAGAGCATCTCGATTTACAAAGATTCTTCTTCGCTGCGTCCTCGGCTGTCGAAACCCCTCACCTTAGGTTTATGGGACCACATTTAAACACACCCACCCCTCCCGGGAGAGACCAACCCCTTTGCCCAAATCCCTCGGCTCACCCGTCCCCAAGCAGCGATATTCTCTTCTGCGGTTGTTGGCTCCATCGCTCTAAATCAGGCGCAAGCTCAAAAAACAAACTAAACGGGGAAAACGTTGGTTAAGTTTTCAAACTCCCCAGAGGGTCTTGGGGAACCCCACCCTCCAAAGCAGGTGATTTTTTGGGGGGGGCTGCAATTTCCAGCACCCCCAATCGGCAATTACAAAGTCAAGGAGTGTCCAGTAATTTCCAGTAACGGACATTCCAAGTGCAAGATTAACACGGAAGGCTGTTTTCCCCTTAGGAGTTGGACTCCCAACTGCCATTGCCCCCTCTCTCCCCCCGGTTGATGCTCAGGTGGGGGATTATGGGCATCGGAGCCAGCAGGACTTGGGGTGGGGGCTTGAAAAAGCCTCATTTCTTCCCAAAATTGTTTTGGCCACAATCAAATATGTACTAGGATGACCTTAAATTGAAATTCAGCTTGGGGGTTTGTTTTGTTTCTAACCTGGTTCTCCCAGGAAAGAGAAAGGGAGCTATTTGAGAAAGTAACCAGGATCACAAGATTTAACCCCCTGGGGATGAGCTTGGAAACCGAGTTAAAGATCGTTAAACTGGGTTTCAATGGACCGTTCAGAGCAGACGGTGGAGACCCAAAACGCCGCCATCTCGTGGCCGTTTTCGGCGTTGCAGCCGCCAAAGGATTTATTCTTTTTCTCAAAGGGTTTTTTGCACGTTGATTCACGTTATTTTGCACGTTATTTGCACGTTATTCGCGTTATTTTCCTCAGTATTCACGTTATTATGAACACTAATATTTCAATAAGAAGCCTCAGTTCTGAACAACACGAACAGATACGAGGAACCAAATTAAACCATGTCAAACAGAGTTAAAACTGGGCTGTTCAAAATTTAAGATGGCAATGGCAGAAAACGCCGCCATCCCGTGGCCATTTACGGAGTTGCAGCCGTCCAAGGAGTTAATTCTTTTTCCCAGGGACCCATTTGTTATTCACACTATTTTGATCATTATGAACGTTATTACGGTAGTAATATCAATATTTCAGTAAAGTGATCCTATGTTGGAGAAGAGATATGAATGTAAAAAACACTCACCCTCGTGTGATCTCATTTGGCCTTTTTAAAGATGTACAGTTATTAATTAAAATTGGTTTCAACAATATTTAACCCATGGTTAATGTTAATATTGCAATAAAGAATTCAGGTACCCATAAATGCAAAACACACTTCCCTCCTGCAGCCATAAAAAGGGGAAAATCCCCCAAAATGGAAAATTGTGGGTGAAGGGAAGCATAAGGGGAGTCAATTAATGTATTTATCGTGTGTGTATGTGTGAGAAGGGCTCGGGCATTCTGAGGAAACAATTACGGGTAGTCCTTGAGTTACGACCCCAATTGAGCCCAAAATTTGGTCGCTAAGTGAGACATCGGTTGTGAGTTTTGCCCTGTTTGCGACTTTCCTTGCCACAGTTGCTAAGCAAAGCTGTGGTGACCCGGAGTGTAACACAAGTGTAACAAAATCCAAAATGTAAATAAATGTCCTTTAATGCCTCCAACTTGGCCCCACTGTTCAATAATTCGCAGTTGGAGATAAAACTTATTCAAAAATAGTCTTCAAAAGAAAGCAATTACAGTCCGAACTTAATGAGCAGATAGAGGTGAAATAAAAAACCAAAACAAACTACAGTGAAGGAATTTCCACAACGGACCAGGAGAAGTAATTACCAAATTCAAGGAGATAATAAGGCACAGTCTGTTGGAAGGACACCAACCAAGATAACTTCAGCCCAAAATAAAACACGCTTTGCTTCTGGCAACATTGTGTTTTAACCGTCTCTCTTATATACTATTTTCCCCAGCGGCAACCAATGAGGGGGATCATGGCCGCTTCCTCTCTCATAAGCCAAGTTGTTTCCTCCTCCGTTCCTCCCTCCGTCTCTTAGGATGGAGAGGGGATGGGCCTGGGTCCTCCTCTGACTGCCCAGCCGGTCTCTGCCCTTCCCCAGCCTCCTCCACAACCTTCGGAGCCACACTTCTACTCCCTGTTGGCTGTTCCTCCTCTCCCTCAGAGTCTAACAAGGGCATGATAGAAGCGCTGTGGTGGTTTAAGTTAGGAACAGCTACGGTCATAAATAGGAGGCAGTTGCGAAGCATCTGAATTTTGATCACATGACCACGGGGATGTTGCAAAGGTGAAAAACAGTCATCCGTCACATTTTTTCCAATGCTGTTGTAACTTTGAAGTAAGTAGTAAGATTCAATTTATTTTTTACTACCGGTACTGTGGACGTGGCTTGGTGGGCATGGCAGGGGAAGGTTACTGCAAAATCCCCATTCCCTTCCCACCCCACTAACCTGCTTTCCAGCTCTGTTTTCCGTTTTCCGGGCAACCAAAGAAAACCCAACCAATCAGCTGGCATCCAATGGGAGGCAGAGAAGAGATGGGGTTGGCGGGGCCAGTCAGAGGTGATATTGGCTGGTTCTCCAAAATTTCCGCTACTGGTTCTCCAGAACGGGTCAGACCCTCCTGAATACCACCTCTGCTTTGAACAGTCACTAAATGAAGGGTTGTAAGTCGAGGACTGCCCCTATATATCAGTGGGTCTCCTCCTAGCTGGTCACAATGATAAGTTCCTCGTTTGTTTGCTCTCTTTTTCCCTCCTCCTCCTCCCTCCTTCCTTGCATGACCTCGGTACTACTCCTGACTTATGTGTGTTGTTTGGAGACCTTTTGCTTCCTTCCACAGCAACATCCTCCACAGCTTTTGTGACTGTAGCTTCTTTTAAAAAAATTAATAAAAAAGAAAAACTGAAAGGAAGAGTGACACCACAGAAGATGCCCTCCAATATATCTTTTATTGCTAACGGTACTGAGGGCTGCAAAGTGAGGCTGCAAAGAAAGATTTGGGTCGCGAAATTCAGGGACGGTTGCACAGACACGCGTGGCTCTCCTCCCGGCCACGTCCCACCTCGGTAGCCATTTTGTGAAAGTGCCCAAGGCACATCCCGATGCACGGAGGACTGATCTTCCACAGAGATCTATTTGAGTTCTTAGCGGGTTATCCCAGAAAAATCTGCAGAAGGAAGAGGCTTGAAATACGTCGTGCCAAATTCTTGGTTCGCGCATCCCGATGGAACGGAAGAACTGAGATCCAGTGGGAAAAGGAGACCTCCTACGAGTAATTTATCTTCCCCCCCCTCCAAAAAAAATAAAGGAACATCAGGTGACACACACGGAAAGGCTGCCATGAGGCATCCCACAGGCCTCTGTTTATAAACCAGCCATCGTTTCTTTTAAATCGATTCAGTGCGGACTTTGTTTTCACTTGTTTTCTCTTACAGCCAACTGGATCTCCACAAAGGTTTTGCCCCTGGTTTCCGGAAGCATCTTGAAAAGATAAATGAAGGTGGCCACGCAGAAGGGCCAGTAGACCAGCAGAGAGTAGGGGCCCAGGAGTAACTAGGAAGGGAACGAAAGGACATGAGAGTTTTTCTAACTTGACAAGATTTCAAAAACTCGCTTCCCGTTGTCCCGGCTGAAATTCAACTCCTGCTCGCATCGACTCAGCTCGATAGCAGATCCGCCAATCGAATGAATCTGCTCGGATCAATATCAACCCCCGTCTGAGAGTGTCCCTCACATCTGGTCTGTCTCCTCTACAATTTCCAGCACACACAACCACCCTCCGGGGTAAACCCAGGAGTGCGATTCGGCCGGTTTGGACCGGTTTGAGCGAACCGGATGTTAAATTTACATCCGGTTCGCCAAACCGGGAGTTGAACCAATCAACTGGCCCCATCCACCCCACTCCACCCCTTCCAGGCAGCCCATTTTAGATGCAGGTAAGTGCAGGGTCCACCAGAAACTCTGGGAGGGTGAAAAACAGCCCTTCTGGGAGCTTGCAGGCCTGTTTCCGGCTGCCAGAGGGCCTCTGGAGCACGGGGGAGGCTGTTTTCGCCCTCCTAGAAGCCTCCAGACTCTGGGGAAAGCAAACAATGGCCCACCCGGAAGTTCCAGTAAGCCATGACCACCATGACCACACCCACCCAGCAACCAAGCAAAGAACTGGTTGTTGAGATTTTTGATCCCACCCCTGGGTAAACCTGGTTTGTATCTAAGCCTTCACATCGGTGTCGTGTGCACCGCATGGGGATTGCGACCCAGAATCGTGACTCTGAAGACTCCCCCCCCTCTCACGGGATATTTTGGACAGCGGAGGGGCCCAAAGGCCATCCGAGGTTCTTGTAAAGGGGCAACCCACCCAACTCCTGTTTGTGTGAGGACTCACCTCCAGCTGGATCAGGATCATGCCAGAGACAAAACGAGTGAACCACAGGACAGCGTATCCAACGGTGCAGGCTGTGGCGCGGGTCGACTGCAGGAAAAGTTCTCCAAGAATGACCAGACGGATCGGACCTGGGCAGGGAGGGAGGGAGGGAGAGAGGGAGGGAGGGAGGAAGGAAGGAAGGAAGGAAGGAAGGAAGGAAGGAAGGAAGGAAGGAAGGAAGGAAGGAAAAGAAAAGGCTTGACCAGGGTGGGTATAAGGCCTCCTGCCAGGGGGTTAGACTAGAAGCCCCCCTTGTAGACCAAGTCTTGTTCATTTCCTGCTTTTGCAGATCCCAGGGCTGCCTGGGGTTGCTAGCAAAAGTTTGGCGTGGTTCAGCCTGCTCACCTACCTGGTCCTAGCATATGTCCAATTAAAAGGATAATAATTAAAACCAGGCTTAGGAAAGACATTACGTAGTTCTGCTCCTGTGGAAAGAAAGCGAGAAGGGGAGCCAGGTAGCTTTGGGGAGGAGACCCTTTCCTCCTGCGCCGGCACCCAGCTTTCTCTAAGCTTCAGGTGGTCCCACCGGCCGCGCCCTCCCAGCAAGGATAAGATTGGGGTGGGGTGGGGGAGCTCAGGAAGGGGGAATTCCTTGCGGGAAGGAGGAGAGCTGTCAAACCTGGAATTCCAGTGTGAAGGTTAAAAGGATGCAGGTCATGCTACAGATCATAAAGCCCATGATTAGAGGAAGGCGCCGGCCCCACGCCTCAACCAAATTGATCTAGGAGGAAAAAAAATTGAGGGGACAGAGCAGAGGTGGGTATTCAGCCGGTTCTGACCAGTTCTGGAAAACCGGTAGCGGAAATTTTGAGTCATTCAGAAAACCGGCAGGGGTGGGATTCTACCAGTTCGTACCTATTCCCTAGAACCGGTTGTTAACATTCTAAGCAGTTCGGAGAACCGGTTGTTAGAAGAAATTACTGGGCTAATCCTGTAAGGAAGGCAGGAAGGAAACATTCTGGTGTTGCTTACAGAAACTGCCTCTCCGTTAACCCTTATTACATTCTTGGCAGGACGAGACTTCCTGTCTCAGGAACATCTCTGGAGTTTTTTTTCCCCCTCCTTTGCTGGACTTTGCTTGTGTGAAGTGACCATTCAAAGTTACAATGGCACTGAAAAAAGTGACTTATGACTCTTTTTCACACTTACGACTGTTGCAGCATCCCCACAGTCATGAGAGGCCAGGCGAGGAGATGCGTGCCTCAATGTCAGTGATATTGAGTTGGCTATGCCCAGCCAGTCACATGACCACCAAGCCATGCCCACCAACTAAGCCACACCCACAGAACTGGTTATTAAAAAATTTGAATCCCACCCCTGAGAACCGACAAGTACCACCTCTGACTGGCCCCGCCAACCCCATATCTCTTCTCTGCCTCCCACTGAGTCCCAGCTGATCGGCTGGGTCTCCTTGGGATGCCCCGCCCAGGAGAACGGAGCTGGAAAGCAGGTTAGTGGGGTGGGGAGGGAAGGGGGATTTTGCAGTAACCTTCCCCTGCCACGCCCACCAAGCCACGCCACGCTCACCAAGTCACACCATGCCCACCAAGCCACAGAACCCATGGTAAAAAAATTTGAATCCCACCACTGGGACAGAGTTATGGTGAGAGGGGGATATCAAGGGTAAGGCAACAGGGATCAGAGCCCTAGACTCTGAGGGGGCTGGCTGGCTCCCAGCACCCTGTGGTGAGTTTTCCCCAAGGCCTCCATGCCAAACCAACGCACACAGACACACACACACACACACACACACACACACAGAGTTCTCCATTCTGTATTTCTTCCAAGGTAGCAAGTTCAGGATCTGCTGCCACTAGAAAAATGTCAGGTCTTGCAATATACATACATACATACATACATACATACATACATACATACATGTATGTATGTATATATATATTTTAAAATATATATATATATTTTAAAGGACCCTTGGATTTTGTCCAGAATGGTACAGGATCCCTCGCCATGGGGAAGGGGTTGTATTAGAAGATCTCCAAAGTCCCTTCCAACCCTAGTCGTGTGCTTAGCAATTCCAAAATTGGAACATTGCATCCGGTTTTTGGTCACCATATTATAAACAAAAAAAAAGGCGTTGAGGCTCTAGAAAGAGTGCAGAGAAGAGCAACGAAGAGGATTAGGGGGCTGGAGGCTAAAACATATGAAGAACGGTTGCAGGAACCAAGTATGTCTCGTCTAGTGAAAAGGAGTAGGAGTGACAGTTCCTACAAAGACAAAGGGAGGGTCAAACTATTTTCCAGAAGGCAATTTAAGAAGCAATGGATGGAAACAGAGATTAGACGTGAAAACCTCCACAGTCCCTTCAGATCTTCAGAGCTGGATTTTCACCAGATGTGCCAATATGACGTACCTAATACATTTGGACTCTAGGGAGCACCTTGGCCATGGAATTTTGACTGCATTGGGTCGGTTCTTTGGAACCCTGACCCAACTAACCCAACTCTGCTCAATAATAAATTTAGAGGCTCCCTGGCACCCTTATTTCCTGTTCTTCAGACTCGCTTGGAGACCCAAACGTTTGGATTTATTTTATTTTTAAGGGGGAGGCGGGAAGGTGGACAAATCCTGAGGTTTTGCCCTGAAGTTTGGCCACGAAGCCGGATGGCAAAGTGAGCCACTTACCGCAATGACAACGATGATGACACTGATGACGTGGATGCCTGAAGAAATGTTATCTGAGATAGACCTGGGTAACGCCATCGATATGTAGATTTTCTCGATGTAAAAGAACATCTGCATCCAGATGAAAAACAGAGATGGTGATGAAGACGACACGGTCAACTCATAAAACATTTCTATGGATGTTTTGGAGCTGCCATGAAGAAAAGGGGGGGGGAGGGGAGAAATTTGAAAGAGCAGTGGAGCAGTTTGAAAACCGAAAGTGCATTCCGTTCTTATCTTGCAAAGATTGTAACTAAGCTGCGCAAATTCCTAGTTGGAGAATATGATTGATGACTCTTGGCTATGGACGTGTTTCGTTGGAGAATATGAATGATGATACACCCAGAGGGGTGTGTGTGTGTGGGAAACAGAGTCATAGGTGATAGTATATTACGTGTCTCAGAATCAGCTTCATACAGATCATGCTGACATGTTCACTCCTAATAAATCCTTTGAAGTTTTGGAAGCTTTGGCTGGAGGCTCATGATTTAATTAGGGCAACTGCTGGAATCCTGACAGACACACTGGAAAACAATTTTTTGGAGGGAGGGAAAAGAGAAAGAAGGAGACTTGGGCGTTCTATCCGCCGTCCTTAAAAGAGAAAGGAACTCGACAAAGGGAGGAGATGACATGATTCCCACGTGAAACAAACCCTGGGATCCATATTGTATTTGGTTTTGCGGGGGGGGGATTCCAATAAGGATTTGGGGTGCTTTTTTTCCCCCTACCCCATTGATGCCGGAAAGTTGACTTCCGGCCATCAACACGACGATGGTGACTATGGACCACCGGAATTTCGGAACGCATAAAAATTTCCAGAGTGTCATCTTTTTCTCGTTGGCCAGGACTTCGTAAAGTTCTTCTTCCTGGAGTTCCTGGATCTCATTCCCCACGTCCTCTTGGACCCTCAAGCTTCTTAAAACTGGTTGGAAAGAGGGAAGACCGTTCACATGGGCTCAGAGACAAAGAGTAAATTTGCATCGTACAACAACAACAGGGAAAGAGCATCAGCTCTTGGCGATCCAACCGGGAGTTCACCCTTGCAATCCAGCTAGGAGGCCTTCGCTAACGAGCAGGGTCTCTTTACCTTCTCTTGCCTTGGTTTCGTTCTTCTTCTGGATTAAAATAAACCGAGGACTTTCCGGACAATTAATGAGAAGCAAAATACAAATGGTAGCAATGACACCCAGTACAATAGCCATGAACGGGAAACCTGTGAAGAAAGGGGGAGAAAAAATGGCATTTTGGACCGACAACTTCAAGCGCTGGGGAAATCAGGCGATTCAGACAGGATTATTGCAAGCTTAAGCTGTCTACAAGAATCTGACCAACTAACGGTCAAGGGAAATGCGTAGGCAATAAGAGAGGCATTCAGGGTGGGCTGGACTTAGATCTTTTGTGGATGTGCAAGGACTCGTGACTTATGACGTATTTGATTCCTCCCTCGGGCTCAGCCTCTTCTGCATTCTGCTGTTTTTTGGAATCTATGCCTGATTTTTTTTTTCTCCTTCCTTTTCCTGCCCCTCTGCCTTTCCTTTTATGACATGCTGCTTGGGCAGAAGGGTGCTGGTGGGGCCAGGATTGACGGGCTGCTTCGAGGGAGCTATTGTTGCGATGACGATTCGATCCGTACACGTACCTTCTTTGTTCCCCAAAATCTGCGGAAGTCCCAGCGTATGGCCTAACAAAACACCGAGGCTGAAGAAGAAGGCTGACGCTGTAGTTATGAATCCTCTTACGGGAGTGGGAGAGACCTCTAAGAGGTACAGGGGGACACAGCAGGAAAAAATCCCTAAGTCGAACAAGGACATTGAACAGAGATGTGAGGGGTCAGCCGCCGGCCCCTCCAGCAGCCGAATCCGAGGAGGTGTAGGAATCAGAATCAGCAACAAGCTGAGAGCTCTGAGGGAGAAGAGCTGGCAGAGACATGGCGCCTGGGCCATCTGTCAGCCCTCAGATGGAGAGTCCACAGCCCCCAGGTCTGGAGGTGGCTGATGAGGAATAAGAGGAACAGCTGGATCCAGTGCCTGACTGCGGATGTGCAGAAGGCAGAGGAGAGGAGAGCAGTGGAAATCTATGGGCTGACCCTTGGGACGGAAGAGCCACTGCTGCCAGTGAACACCCCCCACCTCCCAGCTCTGGGGATAAAAGGCAGGGGGTGGAAATGAATAGGTGTGGCAGGAGTTGCTGATGCTCCTAATTAAAGGAATCACTTATTTAACTACAGAGGGTTCGTCTGTTCGTACAGCGGGGTCAGAACAGGTCTACTATTAGCCACACCGCTGAAGAGCCAGATCTCCAAGAAAGCGGCTGGTCTCTTCAGCGCCCCCAAATTGTCATGGCAAATATCAACAAACCAACCCCGGAGACTGGTTCCCAGTGGAAGATCAGCCCCAAACACCTCGGAGATCAACTCACCTGAAGATATTCCAATTATGAAATTGGCAAACACGGTGAATTTGAAGAGATGGACGCTACTGGATACGCAGAGAAAAACCGAGGCGAAGAAAGCCAAGGTGTTATTCAACAGCAAGAGACACTTTCTGCAAAAGGAAGGCACAGGGAAGGGGAGAAGGCAGGGCCGAAAAGGTATTAGCAACCTAGTTTAAAAGAAAAACGCCGATAGTGTTCAACTTAACAACAGTTTGTTTACTGAAAGTTCGAAGGTACAGCAGCACTGGAACCATCGTGGCAAGAGACATTGTAAAATGGAGTAAAATTCACTGAACAACCATCTCGCTGAACAACAGAAATCTGGGGCTCAATTGTGGGCATAAGTTGAGAACTACCTGTACAGTATAGGGTAATGCCTGGAAAAGAGACCACCAGGAGATCCTAGCGTTAACATTTGCTTCGCTCTATGGTATGGAGAAATTGTGTGCAGATCCCGCTCCCCGACATCGTTTCGCCACTTCTGTTACCTTCCATATTTGTCCACCAGGACACTGAACAGCACAATGCCAGTCACCCCTCCTATGGGGAAGAATATGACCGCGGGCGATAAGATGAACCAGAAGTACTTCAAGCTCTTCGCTTCCTCCCTTGTCAAGTTGGAGACAAGAAGCTTAAGGGAAGAAAAAATGGAAAATTGAGCGAGGTGAGGAAGCAAAGAAGAGATTTCCCATTTTTGGGGGGGTCAGCCAGAAATTAAATTTAAGATGTGAGGGTACACAAGAAATGCTTAAAAGACTGCGTCGCAGAACAGCTACAGTGAAAAAAGTTTTGTTTCTAGTTGGAAACCGATCTTGGACTTTGTGCTCGAGAAAAAAGAGAGAGAGAGAGAGGGAGGGAGAGGGAGAGGGAGAGGGAGAGGGAGGGAGAGAGAGAGAGAGAGAGAAAGAAAGAAAGAAAGAAAGAAAGAAAGAAAGAAAGAAAGAAAGAAAGAAAGAAAGAAAGAAAGAAAGAAAGAAAGAAAACGTTGGGTTTTATTGATTAAACTAGTTTTATTTGCTATAGAGCTGGTGGATAGGATAGGATGATAGGATAGGATAGAAAATAGAATAGAGTGGAGTAGAGTGGAATAGAATAGAATAGAATAGAATAGAATAGAATAGAATAGAATAGAATAGAATAGAATAGAATAGAATAGAATAGAATAGAATACTTTATTGCCACTTTAAATGTACACTAATCAGCATACATTAAAATGAAATTCCATTCTATTTAGCTTTCAAAAGATAACCATTATGCACATACCCACACATTTATGGCACAGTACTTAAGTTGCAGCCATAAAAAATTGAGGCTGTGATTGTATTTTGTATTTGATGGTACTTCCTCCTCTGCCACCCTCTTATTCCTTCTTTTTTCGTACTCTCTCTTTCCTTTTCCCATTTTCCTATCACTTTGGGTTTTTTCCCCCTTTGCATGTTATATGCTTAATAAAAAAAATAACAAAACCTCAGCCGGGGTGCCACGCTACCCAGGTTCACCCAAAATATTCGAACAGGATTACTAAGGAGACAGTCGGGGTGCTCCCCATGCCAGACAAACCCTGGTTTACTTGGCGAGACTTACCGAAGCTGGGTGATGCACCAGAAAGAGACTGTAGCCATACTGAAAATATCCGAGATAGGAAACCAACATCGAAATAATCAATGTGGTGGTCAGCTTTAAGCGAAGGAAAACAAACAATGGTTACTGGAATTGTGCAAGCCATGTTTCTTCTTTTTCAAAAAGGTAAAGTGGTTTTATACAGAGGTGGCATTCAGCCGGTTCTGACCAGTTCTGGAGAACCGGTAGCCAAAATGTTGAGTCATTCGGAGAACCGGCCAATCCCGCCTCTGACTGGCCCCGCCAACCCCATCTATTCTCTGCCTCCCATTGAGTCCCAGTTGATCGGCTGGGTCTTCCTTGGGTTGCCCTGCACAGGAGAACGGAGCTGGAAAGCAGGTTAGCGGGGTGGGGAGGGAATGGGGATTTTGCAGTATCCTTCCTCTGCCACGCCCACCCAGCCACACCCACACAACTGGTAATAAACATTTTTATATCCCACCACTGATTTTATATCAGGCTTCATGGACACGCCAAGGTTGCTGCCTTAAAAATATATTCCGGAGTAACAGAAAACCTCCCTTAGAAATAATTTTTAATTGTGTCATTTTGGGGTGAGCCCCAAATTACGCCCTGCCTTGGGCTGAAGGCTAAAACAATAACCGATCAAGAGAACCACCATCTTAGTCTCGCCCCAACTTATCCGATAACGCCAAACTCACATAATTTCGGATTTTGGGTTTCAATTCCCTTTTGCCATCTGCCCTTCTGGAGATGGGAGCCCTGATGAAGTCAAAAAGAAAAGGAAGCAAGAAAAAACTCTGTCCCTTTGTTCGTTCTTCAAACACATTTGAGAGCTGTTGCTGCCCCCAAAACCAGCCAGAGAGCCTCCGCAACCTGTGCTCCCTGGGTGGCTCCTGTTCAAAGGTAGACTGATGCGGATCAGGGAGGCTCCATTGCTGCCGATAGACAGCATTTCTCAAAAGAGGGAAGAGGGTCAGACAAAAACAACAAACTTTCCCCCATCTTTTCTTTCAAACGTCAGCTTGAGAGATCTGTGTTTAATTCGTTATTTTTAAAATATATATATATATATGTAAATTCGCCCAAGTTGTTTGGCACCCTCTTGGTCTTCCACTACTTGCCTGCCAGTCCTTTTGGAGAGTGCCAGTCTCCAGATGTGGCATTTAAGGCTGGGAAAAAGAAAAGGATGGGAATATAAATGTCAACTCACTGAGATTTTTTGTGTCCCATGGCGTGAAAAAGAGACAAAACTGCATTTGCTCAGCCGAATTCCGTTTCGAACGAACCCCGGGGGCGCAGATGGAGCCAATCAGGGAAAGGAGGCGGGAACATTCCGGGAGAAGCGGTTGGCAGTTAGATGCTGATTTGCATACATTTCCATAGGGAACGTAAGATCGGTTATATTCCATATGGAAGTCCGGTGGCCTTAAGGCAAACCTTGGATGGAGGTTTTTCTGTTCCGCCTTGTATTCTGGTTGCCAAAACAAATAATAAACGTATAGAAATACAAAGACACACTGCACAGTGCAGAAAAGCATTTCCCGTGGATTTCACTGACCTAGTTAAATGCCTTTTTTTGTTGTTGTTGTAAACAGGAACCGAGTTTGAACAGAGAACTCCATTTTGGGGACCTTTCTGCCTTCTTCAATAAACTTGTGCTTGAGTGACATGTTTTTCTTTGGGCCAGGATGGGTTAGAGAAGGAAGGTTGTTGGTTTTCCCCCCAAAAAACTTTGCTTTCGTCCTTCCTTCAGGCCACCATGTTGCAGCAATTTTTGAGCGTTGACCCTTTTTTTCTAATCTGCAAATCGTTTATTTTAATAATCTGGGTTTGAAATGAGGCCCTGGTGTCTGGATGGGTAGTCCCATGCCTGTTTATTCAGTATGCTCATTAAATAACTTAATGGTAAATAACTGGTAAATAACTAATGGTAACTAAATAATTAATGGTAAATAACTGTCAGGCCTGCCACAGTCTCAGCTCCTAGGAAGGAAAAACTATCGACTCCATTCGATTGGAGTGAAAAGTTACTTTTACTAAGAGATGCTGATTGCAGTGAAGTCAGGCACATATCAATTTCCCACATATCAATACAATACTAAACCCTTGCTTGCCTCAGCTCTCCACCCCGCCCCCACCCCAATCTGGCACCACCGAGACGTTTTGGGAAGTGCTGAGATATATAGCCTGGTGAAAGCCCATTCTCAGGGCCTGCGGCCTTAAAGATTGTTGGAATTCACTGTTGGAACGAATTCGCTGTTTCCAGGGAGGTCCCGTGGGCCAGATCTAAGCACCCCGTGGACCAGATCTGGCCCCTGGGCCTTGAGTTTGACATCCCTGCTCTATGCTTTTTGTGATGACCCAAAGGGGCGTGGCACAAAAGCAACAAAGTCACAAAAATAGGTAACGTCCCTTTAATACTTCCAACTTGGCCCCCAATGTCCAGTTATCATCGGCTGGGGAAAAAACTCTCCCAAGAACAGTTTTTAAAGGGAAGAAATTCCCTCCAAACTCAAAGTACATATAAATTATAAATAAAAACCAACACAAACCACACTGCAGCAATTAACAAGACAGGGCAGGATAAGGGATTGAAGATGTCAAAAGATAACAAAACACACACACCTGGGAGGAAGCCAGAACTCAGATAAGACTTGACAAACCAGAATAATTTCATGCTTTGCTTCCAGCAGCTTTGCCGTGTGCAGTTTGCCCTTGTAAACAGTCTTCCCAGCTGCAGACAATGAAGGAGATCAGGGCCCTTTCCTCCCCCGTAAACCATGCAACTCATATTGCTCCCTTCTCTATTCCTCCCTGCCTGCCCTAGGATGAAAAGGGGGGTGGGCCTGGGTCTTCCTCTGAATGCCCAGCCAGACTGTGCCCTTCCCCAGTTTCCCCCACAGCCATCGAGCCACACTGCCACTCCCTATCAGCTGTTCCACCTCTCCCTCAGAATCAGATTCCAACAGGGGCATGACACTTTTGTTCTTATTGACTTTCCTGTTTCCTGTTACAGTAATATAGTTGAGCAGTAAAGCACATGGTGTCTATACTTTTTGTTTGCTCTGGTGCCATATTTTCAGCTTTGGCCTACCTCGCAGGACTGACACCCCCGACATCTCCGCTTACACATCTCTGTTAAGCTTACAACCCGATCTTTTTGGGGGTGAGGGCCAAACTACTATGTAGCATTGTACACTTAAAAATAATACAAATAAATCCATCCAGCTTGCAGAGAGATTCTGATTTATTTCATTTTTTTAAATTCCAGGTCAATTTTGAAAACAGGGGGAAGAGATTCCCCGTTTCTATTCAGCCATTATTTTTCTAAAGTTTTTGGAGGTCCAGGCTGCCACGTTCTCCTGGATTTCTTGAAACGTCTTGCCACAGGTTTCCGGGACTGCTCGGAAAATGTAAATATAGGTGAGGACTATAAAAGGCCAGTAAATGAGTAAGAAGTAAGGCCCAAGATAGGACTGGAAACAGAAACAAAAAATTAAAAAAATACTGAGAGCAAACTCAGCAGGCTCACGAGATACAAAGAATTCTGCGGTATGGTCACCTCCTTATTGGGGAAAAAATAACAAACCCATGGAGTTTTTAAATAATATTTCTGTAATATATTTTCTTTACTTTTTAAATTTCCAAATTAGGTCAGCAGTGTCCAACCTTTTGCTATTTAGCAGCCCAGGGGGGTGAGGGGTGGGAGAGGCGAACAGGGCCATGTGAGCTGTGGGCCAGCACACACCCATGCAGGCAACTCCACTTGTGCCCCAATGCACACATACACACGCGCAATAGCCCACCTCTCATGCAAGTTAAGCTGCATTTGGGCACACGTGCAACAGCCTGCTGCTCGAGCGGCCCGGTTGCAAATAGACCATGGCCCGAGAATGGGCTCTGGCTGGGGGGTTTTGGGACCACCTGCCTTACTTTAGTCAGAAGAAATAGTAACGCCGAGGCAAAGTTGGCTCCCCAACTGATGTATCCTGCTAGCACGTATGCAGATGCTCGGGACGACTGGAGGAACAATTCACCGATAACTAGGAAAAGAATGGAAGCTAAACGGAGAGAAGAGGGGAGGTCTTGTAAGTTTTTTTTTTAAAAAAAAAACACCACTACCACCACAAACCTTCCCTTGTTTTTTTTTTTCTCCAGGGGTGGGATTCAAATTTTTTAACAACCAGTTCTGTGGGCGTGGCTTAGTTGGTGGCCGTGGTTTGGTGGTCATGTGACTAGGTGGCCGTGGCTTGGTGGTCATGTTATTGGCTGGGTGTGGCCCACTCAATATCACTCAAATTCGAGGCACGCATCTCCTCGCCTGGCCTCTCATGACTGTGGGGATGCTGCAACAGTCGTAAGTATGAAAAAGGGTCCTAAGTCACTTTTTTCAGTGCCATTGTAACTTTGAATGGTCCCTCCACACAAGCAAAGTACCAGCAAAGGAGGGGGAAAAAAACTCCAGAGAAGTTCCTGAGACAGGAAGTCTCGTCCTGCCAAGAATGTAATCAGGGTTAATGGAGAGGCAGTTTCTGTAAGCAATACCAGAATGTTTCCTTCCTGCCTTCCTTACAGGATTAGCCCAGTAATTTCTTCTAACAACCGGTCCTCCGAACTGCTTAGAATGTTAACTGGTTCTAGCGAATAGGTGAGAACCTATAGAATCCCACCCCTGCCGGTTTTCTCCACTGAGAAGGTTCCGTATCCCATCCAATCACAAACCTGGTCCTGTTACGTCGCCCATAAAGAAAAGGGTAATCAAAATAATGCTGATGAAGGCTGCTGCAGGAGTGTCAATCTGTGGGGAAAGAAGGAAGCACTTGTGGGGTGATCATCAAAGCAGTAGTATTCCTTCCGGCCTGCCTGACTCCACATCTTCCACCAACTTCCTATCATCCACAGGGTTTAGGATCCTCCATCAATAGAAAACTGGTATGAACTCTACGAAATGGAGTGACTGGATGAAATTGACAAATCGGTGAAATTGACCAACTGGATGAAATTGAGGGATTGGTGAAATTGATGGACTGGTGCAACTGACCAACTGGGTGAAATTGACAAATTGGTGCAATTGAGCAACTAGGTGAAATTGACAGATTGGTGAAATTGACCAACTGAATTAAATTGATGGAAATTCATCAGATCAATTTTAACTGGCTGGGAAGATTTGTATGTGTGGGGAAAAAAAACCCACAGGGATGTTAATGAGGAGGGGCATTTAAATTGCCCCAGAGCTGAGAGCAAGAAGGTAACCTACCTTAAAAGTGAAGACTAGGGCAATATTTGAAAGGCTACACATCAAGAAGCCACTCAAAAGGAGAAATCTCCGCCCCAAGGAGTCGACGGTGCAAATCTAGAAAAAAAGGATTGACGGTTCAGGACAGCCAAGAACACAAACCAAAGGATCATCAAACGAAGGAGCCCACAATTCTTCATCAAGGCTGAAAATGATTCCGGTCTTTGCTTTTCCTATCGTGTTTTTGCTCATTTGAACTGCCCCCTGCTGGTTGTAGTGCTTGGGGTACATTATTCTAAGTTGGTGGGGTGACAGAGGTGGCAGATAATGCAAACAAGTGGGGATTCACAGTCGCTTACGGCTGTCAGAAGCATCAGCTGGATGATCAAGTTTCCTACCAATGGGATGAGATTCACAGCTTTGGTGGACAGTCCTAAAGTTTCATAGCTCTGCTCCGCAAAAGATAAAACCTGTAATCAAAGACAAAAGATGTGTAGATAGAGGCACACATAGAACTTGGTTCAGGCTCTAAAAGCCCCTGTTGCAATTCTTCTATGTAGATTCGTCTCCGGCAGACAGAATCATGCCAAACTAAACCATCATATAGCTTAGACTCTGGGAACTGTTAAGGAGGAACCATCCTCACCTTATTTCTCTCATACTAACTATCTCAACTGTGTTGTCTCTTGCTTCTCTGGAAGGCAGCTCCTCCCTCCTGGGAATCCAGGCCTCACTCCATCACACTTTGCCCTTTTGTAAAATGTAACAGCTGCTTCTGCTATCCTGGAACCCAGGAAGAGTCTGGATGTGGATCCAGAAATGCTGTTCCTGGCTACAAGCCAGCATTCGGCACTTTGGGGAAGGACAGAGACTCCAAAGTTGAACTGTGAAAAAGCAAAACCCTGTGCGAGATAGCTCAGGGAAGTCACTAACCGTGTTTATTTCCACCAATTGACTTCCACAGCCCAGGACCATGATGGTGAAGACATGCCACCGGAGGCTGCGGAAGCGAAGGAGTTTCCACAGTGTCATGTTCTTCTGGCTACTTTCGGCAAGGTGTTCCTGACGAAGTTCTTCCATCTCCTCCTCTACGTCTTCTTCCCCTCTCAGCTCCTTCAAGACTAAACGGGGAGGAAGAGGAGGAGAAGACAAGATGTGCAGAGCAGTATCGTGGTGGGTTTCCAAGCCCTCCATGCAATTGGTCTTAACCCTGGGGTTAAGAAGGGCTCGGATGGTCCAAGAGACCCTCATTCCATTTCACCAAGAGAAGGACTTCCCTGGGAGGCAACCTTTGGGATGATGGCTTCCGTCTTCTTCGGAGCAAGGAGTGTGGTGAAGAAAACTGAGGCTAAAGGGTTGACATCTCCACTTTTGTTAAGACAATTGTTAAGAATATCTGGCCAGATCCCCCCTATCTTCACCACCCTCTACGGAGGTGGCTTAGCCCTGAAGCCGGGTGGCTCGGGGCACTCCAGCGGCAAGCACAGGCAAAAACCGCGCACAATCGCGGATTCCTGCCTGTCCCGAAGCGCTGCAAACCGGAACTCCCCTCTGAAACCAGCGCCCCCACCAAAGTATGCAACAGACCAAAGGGACGTCCTAAACAACCATCCAAAATGTGGTCCCCTTATGGGCCCACGATTGGCAAAGGGACTACACTTGGAAGGAGCCACCAAGCCCTGCAGATCTCAAGGGCAGAAGCTGGGCTATCGGTCGGATCCTCCCTTCGGCCCAGCAGAGTGGCTCTAAGGCCGTAATGCCAGACTCACGTGGCTGTACCTTGTCTTGCTTTCTCTTTGTTGTTCCTCTGCAAGTAGAGAAACCTTGGACTTTCTGGAGAAGGCAGCAACAATATACTACTAATTGTAGAAAATAGGGCTATAATGCCCACTAGTAATGAAAAATCTGTGGCAGAAAGAGAGAGAGAGAGAGAGAGGAAGGGAGGGAGAATGTTAGAAATAATTTTAGAAGTAACCTTCCTCTTTTCTACTTCCTCTTCTCTTGCTTTGATCCCTCTCTACGCTGGGATTTTTGACCATGGAAAGACACCTTCCCTGGCCTAAGCATGAGTTCAAGTTTGCAGCAAGGATGGAGGTGAAAATGCTTACTTTCTTCATTTCCCCAGATTTGGGGACTGGTTAAGACTTGGACAAGAAGGTGTCCCCAGCTGAAGAAAAGGACTGTAGACGTCACCAAGGCCCCCCTTAGATTCAACGGAGAGATTTCAAGGATGTAGAGAGGGGCAGCGTAAGTAAACGTTCCTGTGGAGTGAAGTAAACCTTGCATTACAATCACCGCTTGCGTTCTAGCAAGCGCAGAGTTTAGGAGGAAAACATTTGTTAAAGTGAGTTTTGCCCCAATTTAGGACCGTTCATGCCACAGTTATTTAAGTGAACCGCTGCCGCTGTTAAGTTAGTCACAGGGTGGCCGTATGAATGCATCTTCCTCATTTATTTTGCTGGCCATAAGGTCATTAAGCGGGGATAACGTGACCTCGGGACACCGCAACCCTCAGTTGAATCAGTTGTCCAGCATCTGAATTTTGCTCTCACGACTGTGAGGATGTTGCCACTGTCATAAATGTGAAAATGGCCACAAGTCGTTTTTTTCAATGTCGTCGTCACTTTGAATGGTCACTAAGCAAACTGTCGTAAGTCAAGGGCCATCTGTACATTTCCTTCTACATCTACATTATTATTGCATTCATTACGGAGATTCTGCCCTGGGGGCATTCGCTGGCTTGTTTTCTTACTAACGGAAGTAATAACTGCATATAACCCTCAGAATATTTGCAAAGGACCATCCTGATTCCTAGGTGCCAAGACACCCACTGTCAGGCTTCTCCCGACTTCAGCGTTTAGGAAAGAAAGACCCTCAACTCCAATTATGAAGCGACTGGATTACTTTTACTAAACTCAAGAAGTTACAGGATAAGCAAAGCTTTGGTGGAGTTTCATATTCTATTCTCATGGCTCCGTCCTCGATCGGCCAGCCTGCTCCAGATCGACAGCTTTGATTCCTGTAACCTTGTCATCTCCGCTCCTGCCTCCCCAATCCTAAGGCTCTTTACTTTCCCAATCCTAAACTTCTAAATGAAGGGACGTTTAATGCAAAGACAGAGTTGGGCTCTTTCGTTTGGCTGCTTAAAATAAAGTACTCACGGACTCACCTGACCCTATTCCTACAAAAAAGCGAGTAAAGAGGCTGAATTCAAAGCGCCGGAATATTTTATCTAAACACAGGGTGGCGGACGAAAGAATGCTAACTCCGTTGCTAATTAGGAGGGCGGATTTTCTGCAAAGAGAAAGAAAGATATATATATATATAACGGAAGCAGGAAAACGCAAGAATTTCATTTATTATTTTTATTATTATTTTTTTTTGAGGGAACGATTAATTCCTGGAATTACAAGAAGTTATGCAAAATGCTAAAATACCTTCACGGGGAAGCTCTAACATGTGTGCTGTAACCATCCAGATGTTGGCATCAGAGGAATTAGAAGGGGAAGAGAAGATTAAAACTGGGGTTTGTTCTTATCGCTGATGCTAGAAAGCCAAGCCAATGATTTTCCGAGCAAATAAACTTTTCAAAATATATAGAATATTAGCACAGTTGGTGATAGAAGGACGATTCGAACTTGTACTCTTACACAAAACCTCAGGGGCTTTGGGGTTTGTTTAGTCTAGTGAAAAGAAGGACCAGAGGTGACATGATATGGGGTGTTTAATATTTGAGGGCTGCCACACATGGAAGAGAGGGTCAGATTATTCTCCAAAGCACACAGCTCCTATTAATCTTGGTTAAATTAAACTTTGGTTCTCTTTTCAGTGGATCAAATTCTGTTATCTGGGGGTTAGGAGCTAAGTGGGTACGCAGGAAAGGGCTTCACTTTACATGCCAAAGGATGGCACCAACGCCAACAGAAACAGCCGAAATTTGGCACTTCATTGTATATCCACAGCCCAGAAATTTTGTTTAACCTGTGCCTACTGTACCTGCCATATCTGTCTGCCAAACAGCTCCAAAGATACACCCCAAAAACGCCTCCAAGCGGGACGAAAACGACGGCGATTAATATTAAGAACTGGAAATGGAAGGATTCTCTGTTGATTCCTTCCAGATTCACCATCTGGATCTTTCTCTTAAAAACAAAACCAAAAATGGAAAGCTGTATCAATAACACGCAACTGTGCTGCACTTCCCTCCCAGTTTCCTCCTTCCACCTCACCCACCAAGCCTGCCAGGTAGGCTGGCCAGCTGTGAGGAGAGGAGAGGTGGAGGTGAGAATGAAGACAAGAGAAAGAGTGGAGAGGAGAGGAGGAAGAGAGGACCAGAGGGGAGGGAAGGGCAGGGGAGGGGAAAGGAGGCAGACGATACCGTTTGAAAACCAGACCGAGTGGGCTAAGCCAGCACCTGTGTGCCACAAAAGCTGAGACACTGGGCCCATGCAGAGCATGGCAGTGGGTTGTGTGAATCACTGCCAAGTCCCAACCCAGCGACACCCAGCAAGGCTCACTTACCACAACGGGATGGGTGATAAGGTAGAACATGTACCCATACTGGAAAACCCCCAAACTGGACCCCAATAATGAGAGAACGAGCGAGCGGGTCAGTTTCTATGAAAAGGTGCAGGAGAGGAAAAACAACAACACAATTCCTTTAGCGGGAAGGACGAAAACCAACACAACACCCAGAACACATCTTAGACCTCCCCTCTCCTTTCACCCTTCCAATTTCCGACTTGGATGGGAAGAAAGCAGACCTTCTGCACGTGCTTTATGGTTAGGGGAAAGCGAATTATTTTCCCCGAGTTAGTTTGGACCCCTGGCATCTCCTGGTGGTGTCTCATTCACAAACCAACCAACTGAGACTTAGGAGATTCCAAAGATCGTCTAGGCACTGCAATTTTGTTTTGTTTTTTAAATACAGTTGAAAGCTGATCCTCTTCAGAAATTATTTATAATTTCTCTGCCCTGCCTTGCCTTGAAGCTCAGAAATAACCACAGATCAAGATGGACCCCAACCTCACCAGTTCTCCAAACTCACATCATTTCGGATTATGGGTTCCGGTTCCTCTTTGTCCTCCATCCTTCCGGGGAGATCGAGCAAAAACAGAAACAAAAAGCAAAGTCTTTCCCTTTGTTCATTCTTCCAACGTATTTACAAACGATTCTCCCCCCTGAATCCAGCCAGATAACCTCCCTAAAACTGTTCTCCCTGATAACCCCTGTTCCAAGGTAGACTGCCTCAGATCAGGGAGGCTCCATAGAGCCAGTCCCTAACAACGGACGGCTTTTCTCGAAGAGAAAATGAAAGGAAATTACAAATTTAAGCAAAGAGTTTTCACAACCTTTTCTTTGGAACGTTGCGTTGAGATCTTCCTCTTCAATTCCTAATTGTTCTAATAAATTCCCCCAATTTCTTGGCACGGTCCCTGACCCTCCATTGCTTCTCTGCCAGCCCGTTTAGGGGAAGCCAGTCTCCAAATTTTAGATCTGAAGGCTAGAAATGCTGTTTTAAAAAGCCAACTTACTATTTTGGGGTGGGATGTCTTAGAGTAAAAGGAGAAACATCACAGCTGTCTTTCCTTTCGAACCAAAAATCCTGGAGCAGCCGCGAGAACGAATCAGGGAAAAGAGGTGGGAACATTCCGGGAAAAGCGGAATGGCAGTTAGGCGGCTGTTTTGCATAAATTTACATCCAGGGGATTCCACGTTCAGGGGTTGAAATACCTGTTGCTAAGTGAAACCTTTGTTCTGTGAACATTGCCCCAATTTATGACCATTATTGACACAGTTGCTTAATGAATCACTGCAGTGGTTGAGTTAGCAACACGGTTGTGAAGCAAATCCGACTTCCCCGCTGACTTTGCTTGGCAGAAGTTTGCAAAAAGAGATCATAAGGCCCTGGAGCACTGCAACTGTCATCAATATTAATATTAATTAATAACTGTGAGAGGGATCTTGGAGTCCTAGCGACCAATCATTTAAATGCAGTAGCAGCCCAAAGAGCCAACACAGTCCTAGGCTGCATCAACAGAGGGATAGAATCGAGATCACGTGAAGTGTTGATACCACTTTATAATCCTTTGGTAAGGCCACACTTGCAATTATGCACCCAGTTTTGGTCACCACGATGTAAAAACGATGTTCAGACTCTAGAAAGAGCGCAGAGGAGAGCCACAAAGAGGATTAGGGGACTGAGGGATAAAACCTACAAATAATAGTTGGGTATGTCGAGTGTAATGATCAGTAGGACCAGCGGGGTGATATGATAGCAGTGTCCCAATATCTCAGGGGCTGCCCCAAAGAAGAGGGAGTCAAGCTATTCTCCAAAGCACCACAAGGTAGGAGAAGAAGCCATGGGTGCAAACTAATCAAGGATAGAAGCAACCTAGAATTAAGGAGGAATTTCCTGACAGTTAACCAATGGAACAACCTGCCTCCAGAAGTTGTGAATGCTCCAACGCTGGAAGTTTTAAACAAGAAATTGGATAACCATTTGTCTGAAGTGGCGTAGGGTTTCCTGCCTAGGCAGGGGGTTGGACTAGAAGACCTCCAAGGTGCCTTCCGAGTCTGTTATTCTATTCTAACAGGAGACAGTTGCCAAGCGTCTGAATCTTGATCACGTGACCATCATGGATGCTTCAACGGTCATAAGTGTGAAAAATGGCCATAAGTCACAATTTTCGGTGCCGAGAATGTACCAGGGTTCTTTTTATTTCCTTTTTGCAGCATGCAGTTGGGGTGGATTATTTGTCTAGATTTAATTTGATATTTGGGCCTCCCCCCAAATATCACAAATATCCACACAATTCCCCCCTCCCTTTTTAAAATTAGTGTTGGGTGTATGTTTTTCTATTTTGTATGTTATTCTTGTTGAGAAAACCAACACGCTCGCATAAACACAAAGACGCAACGCAGAGCGCAGGAAAGCATTTCCCATGGTTTTTACGAACCCTGTTAAATGCCTTTTTTAAAGAACAGGAACCGGCATGGAATGGAGGACTCCGTTTTGGGGACCAGTCCGCCTTATTAAATAAATTTGTGCTTGGGTGACATATTTTTCTTTGGGCCAGGATTGGGTAGAAACAATTTTTTCCCCCAAAATGTTAGTTTTGTCCTTCCTTTCGGCCTCCACATTGTAGCAGTTTTTTTGAGCATTGTTGCTTTTCCTAATTTGGAAGTTGGTTATATAAAGATATTGCGAGACAAAAGCAGCAGCAATCCATTCCTTATACGATGGGAGCTACAAGCGGAATTCTTCCCCTAATCTCCTCTAGGAAAATCACCTTGGCAGAAATAGGCAAGAATTATAGTTTCAAAGGGCAGAAAAAAATATTTTATGCCCCGAGGAATAAGATATTATTTGGAAGAGCCTGCTAAACTTACAACCCAATCTTTTTTCGCTGAACTACTGCAAAGGAGTTAAAAATAGTCGAAATAAATCCATTCCAGATTGAAGAGAGCTTCTGTTTTACTTCGTTTTTTTTAATTCCAGATCCATTTTGAAAACATTGAGAAGAAAGAGATTTCCTGTTTCTATTCAGCCATTATTTTTCTAGAATTTTTGAAAGTCGAGGCCACCATGCTGTCCTGGATCTCCTCAAATGTCTTGCCGTTGGTTTCTGGTACTACCCAGAAAATGTAAATAAAGGCAAAGATCATAAAAGGCCAGTAAAGGAGCAGGTAGTAGGTTCCAAGATAGGACTAGAGACAAAAACAAAAATTAAGAAATACGGTGATCAAACTTGGCAGGCCTACGAGACGCACAGAATTGCATGGTAAGGTCACTTCCGTACTAATAAAAAAAAAATCCCCAAGGAGTTTTTAAACAAATATTTTTTTTTACTATATTTTATTTACTTTTTAAACTTCCAAAGGGATTACAGCAGGGGTTTCCAACCTTGGCAACTTTAAGACCCGTGGACTTCAACTCCCAGAATTCCTCAGCCAGCA